CCGAGCCCCACTTTGGGGAGTCGGCTCGAGCCCGGGCCTGCCCTCCTATTTAAAAAACAATTTTTTTTTAAGGCAGCAAGCTGCCTATAACAGGCAGATTGCAACCTGCCTGCAACAGGCAAGCAACTAAGAAAAAAAAAATCAAAAAATTCTAGTCGGCTCGGCCCGCTAAGGCTCGGGCCGAGCCTCATTTTTTTTGGTCGGGCTTGGCTCGGGTTAAAAAAAGCTCGATCCAAAAAAGATCGGGCTTGACTCGAGCTTTTTTTTTCGGCTCGACTTGTTGACATCGCTATTTCCATCCATAATTCTGTCAGTTGACCAAAAATTAAATTTTGACCACATTTTTAATATTTTAAAAATGGGCAAAAGAATAACTTTCCATTTATCACATTAAATAAAAAAATAAGAAAAAGAAAAACACACATACACACACAATCGTCTTCTTCCTCTCATCCCTCACCCACCCCCACCTCAAACCCAAATTCCACACCGACCACCTCCACTTGCAACTTTGTATATACAAATAAACCAACAAATCAAACACGTTAACTACAATCGAATAGATTTCCTGCATAGTCTTGGCATTGACCAAAGGATCTGAATCATCATGAAAGATGGAAGACAAGTTTTCGAGGATAAGCTGAGAATGGTCAATAGAGATCTAGAGAACTCCTGGGAGGATTTTCGAATTGACCCGGTTGGACGAATCGACGGCCAGAAGTGTGGATTTGAGATAGGAAAGGGATTTCGTGTCGTTAGGAAAAATTAGTTTGGGGATGGGGAGAAGAGCATGCTCGAAGGGCTCACGACGAGGGTGGAGGTAATTGGTGGTAGACAACACAGTTTTTGTTGTAGAATTTGATGTTGTTGATAGGGGGTTCGAAGTGTGGTGGTTCTTTGGTAACGGTGTTCTTGATTAATCTTTCTTTCTATTCTTCTAATTGGACATTTGGGTTTGAGGTAGAGGTGGTAGTGGGCGGTGTGGATTTTGGGTTTGAAGTGGGGGTAGGTGAGGGTTGATAGGAAGAAGACGATTGTGTGTGTGTGTATTTTTTTCTTATTTTTTATTTAATTATTTAATGTGATAAATAGAAAGTTACTCTTTTGCCTATTTTTAAAATATTAAAAATGTGGTCAAAGTTAAATTTTTGGTCAACTGACAGAATTATGGATGGAAATTGTCCAAAAGGGCTTCACCTGCAACATTTGGAAATGTTAGGGGTGACAGCTGCAACAAATCAAAGGTTTGGAAAAAGTCTATTAATGTTTCGAAGGTTTGAAGCTTTTACTGCAATTATCCATTTTATTTAATCCCTTTCAAAATTCTCCTAAATCCCTAACTCCAAATTCATCATTTCTTCTTCTCATTTGAAATAGAGATCTTCAGGGTGGGGAATTTAGGAGCTAAGAAAAATGATTTTGACTACCAATTTGAAATTTCTTACAGAAATATTATTTAGCCTAAGTGTTTTTATTTTTTCTACTTGTATGTACAGTCGACATAAAAATAATTATAATGTATATCTTTTTCTATCTTCTTTTTCAGTTTATTTTACTGGAGTTTAGTTAAAGTTTAATCTAGAAATCAGTGAGTGATAGTCAATATTCTCTCTCTCTCACCACTTTCAGGTATGCGTTCATCCACTTTGTATGTGTTCTAAATTTATTTTAATTTCAATATAAAATAATTAAATTGCACCTATTTGAGCTCATATGAATATTGTTTCTACTAAATTTTGTATATGCATGTATTGATTATGATTTTTCATTGTTAATGATAAGAAGAATGATGAATATGGGGTGAGAGATTTTGGATGATTTTGGAAGGGATTAAATATAATAATAAAGTTTTGGGGAATAAAATGAAGTTGGAAAATAAAATTTTAAAAGTTTGGGATTGTGGGTGGTACGTAAAAAAAAAAAAAAATTGGGTATAATTTGTAAAATAATAAAAAGATTAGATATTAAAATTGCAATTATTAATTTTTAATTTTGACATTTTTACTGTTTTTAACGAAAAATTTGAAGGTGGGGAGTTTTTGGCACTAAAAGTTTCAAATAAGGAATTTTCTGCAATTTTCAATAAATACGGAATATATCACATATGAAAACGTTTTTAGGCACTTTTTACTATTACTAGTTTTTACCCGTGCAATGCACGGATTGTGTTATTTTTAAGCCAATATTAGCATTTTGAATGTAAAGATGAAATAGGACATTGTATTTCAAATTTTCCATCATAGAAAGATTTAATTGGTTTGATTTAATTCAACTTCAGATTTTGATTTCTTGTTGAATTGAAGAAGCTGCTGTTGTGAAATTGAAGTTACCATTTTTCACTGAAGTAACCGGTTTTACACACAACATATCAGATTTTCATCTTGCTTACCGAATTTAACAACTTTCCAAAAATGAATAAACTTACCGGATTTACATGAAGCATACCGTATTTGGCATATATTGTTTTATATCTATACTCATTGGGCATGACAGTCGCTTCTATCTATACACATGCAACATTTTCAATACAAATTTAGTTTAATCGACCAAACAAATGATAATTTGGGGGAGGGGGTGTTTAAAGTAGAAAACTTAGACAAAAAATTTAGCAGAACAATGAAATTAATGAATAGACAAGGTTCTCATAGTAAAAATAACGAAAACAACTTGTAGATAAGTTTTGATCTATATAATTCACATTTATTGATAAAAAAAAAAAATAACAAAACAATATTGATATGCAGGTAGCTTGAGGCAGCAAAAGAAATGCACGTGTTGTACTCATAATTAAGACTGCTAAAAATATTAAATGAAAACCTACCTCTTCATATATTCTCTTCCAGGTTCCAAACATGTCCATGATCGATTTAGAGCAAATTGGGCAGCAGTACCTGAAGTCACCATCCATGGAGTTTGGAAAAAAAAAAATCAGGTACAAATTCTTTTAATAAGCAAAAATAAAAAAAAATCTCGAAGTATATTGCAAGTAAATTGACAAATTACTTGTCACGCTTGATCATCTCATGGTAACATTCACGATGCATGGTGTGTCCACATTTCATAACAGTTGTGTCTTTCAAGGAGTCAAACAAATACTGTAACTGTAAGTACAAAAAAGGGATAGTATTACAATCTAACTACTCAAGATTAACAGTAAAGAACTCGAAAATGAAAATCAAGGAAACCTCGTAACATATAGGACAGTGATGTCACATGGAGTTTTCTATACACGAATGATTGTTATGCAAACTAATTGAATAACAAGAGCCATCATAATTGTGATAAAAATGTAAGAAGAAATTTA